CAAGCAGTGTGGTTATTTCTGCACTGTAGCTTTGAGGTAATCAGACTGAACTTGGAGCAGGCACTGAGTGGGTCTTTAAGGGATGGGGAGGAGAGGAGTGAGCTTCATTGGGGTATGATGTATCCTGTAGCCTTCCCCCAGAAGACTTAGCCAAAATTGCTCAAGTTAGTCTTTTGCAGTACAGAAGATGCACAGAAGCAACGTTCATCTCTTCATTTCTCCTATCCTTGTTAGGATGCTCAGAATCCTCTGAGTCCAAGAGTTATGGGAACCACACTAGATAGCACTGTCACTGTATTTTAAATATCTACATTACTGCTGCTTTTTATTTTAGAACTATTGGGAAGTATAGAAATGTAATAAACATATAAATCAAAATCAATAAAAGGCCAATAGATACTTATGCATCTGCAATCAGAGTATATGCCTGCTTATAGCTTGATATCTTTTGGGTACAATCCTACCCAAGCTTAGACATAAAAAGCCTGCAGCTCCCATGCTGGCTTGTGCATGATGGGGATGTTTGGATTTTTTTTTTTTTCTATTTACACAGAAGTAATCAAGAAACAAGCAAAAAAAAAAAAATATCCTCAATGTCCCTCTCTTGGCCTCAACCTGTCAATATGACTAACTGGACTTATGAAGTCGATACAGAATGATAATATATTTGAAGCACTTTTAATATTTGAAATTGTTAATGATGAATATTATTTGTTAATAAGCCATCTATTACCTTGCTTTCCTTTACTGAAAGCCAATGTGTAGATTGACTAGTGTTAGACTTAAACTGCAGAGACCAACACTAGACTTAGACTGCAGAGACCAATATCTCTACTTTTTGAGCATGCTTTAATTAATTAATTTTTATACCACTCATTAGCCTGAATGGCTTTCTGGGCGGTTTATGTAGTACACTGTATTTTAATCTGTTCTCTGCCTATGAATGTTCATCTGGTGATCCTGGGACAGTCAAAACTAAATGTTTTGTTTATTGAGCATTCAACAAAAAGCATTCAACCAGGCTTTGTAACCAACAATTATTTCTACAAACCAGTCGGAATACAGTAAATGTTCCTACAAAGCAAATGAAAGTGCTTCTTCCTTTCCAAAGAGAAAGTGTAGCCTACTATTCCCTGTCTCTTCTGTCCGAACAGCCATCAGGGAAAGATTATAAAACAGATGGCCTAAAAGGGAGTCCCTGCGCATCTCTTTCTGGAAATAAAGCATTGCCCCAGCTTTGTAGAAAATATTCCACCAGGGACAGGAAGACCTTCGACCTGCATGATCGACTTCATGGTTTTACTAGAGATGGGCCACTTTTAGTTTGAGCCAACTTTTTTTTTCTTTTGGCAATTTCGGAGGAGGTAAAGTCTAGTATTTGGAGGGATGAACAAGGAGGTGTAGAGGGCTATTCTGGTTTAGAGTATAATGGTGCAAGGGTTAAATGCCCCCTCACCCTCATGGTCCCAACACATCTTACATTCCCTGCAGAGACTATTACAAAAGTCAGCTATGCAAGAGTTGGCTGTACTACACTGCATTTTAATCTGCTCTCTGCATATAGATCTTAGATTTCTGGATCCTTCCTGAGTTGAGGGAATATGAGCAGCCTGGGGAAACTGTTTTCCCTTGAGTGGTGTTAATGCCTGTGCAACACACAAACTTACTTTTTTGCCATTGCAGTAAGAAAGACCAAAAAGGGAATATTAAATACTATTAGTTCTAACTGCTTTATTTATTTATTACATGTATATCCCACATTTTTCCCTTTTCTAGGAACTCAAGGCAGAATTTTTTTTTTAGGATATTTATATGCTTTTCCTTGCAAAAGCCTCAGGACGGCTTACAAAGATAAAATACAAATATCGCCAAACATAAATAAATTAAATTATCGACCCACTCTGGCTGCAGTTAAAATATAATGGTAAAAATGCGATATTTTTTGTACAGAATTCAGATTACAGAATTCTTGTTTTCCTCTCAATCTTATCCTCACAAGAACCCTCTGAGGTAGGTTGGGCTGAGAGTCTGCAGCTGGCCCAAAGTCATCCATGAGTTCCACAGCTGATTGTGAACTAGAACCCAGGTCCCACACTCTTAACCTCTATGCCACACTGGCTCTTTGTAGATAAGAGATTTAATTAGAATCAATCTCTTCTTCTCTTTATTAAATTCCTGCTATAATACAGAGTTTGGAATTTTATCCTCTGTGTGTGTGTGTGTGTGTGTGTGTGTGTGTGTTACACTGATTAGTTGCAGTATATAGATGCCATGGACTTTGACTAGAACAATTTAACATAACCATTACCATCATTATTAGTCAATAAAAGAGGAAACTATATAATGAATGTCACATCTAGTTTGGACCTTATAATTCTTGGCACACGTCTGGGCTTTCTCACACCCTTCAACAAAGGGTTTTTAACTTTCCTAACTTTAGCCTTCAGGGCCGGCTGCACTGTATCAGAAGTAGTGATTTCACTAGAGGGACCACACAAGATCACTACTTCAGTCATGGTTAAGATGCTTTTTACTACAGCCTGGGCCACGCTACCACACTGTTGTTCACTTTGTAATCTGTTAAGGAACACAATAAAACTTGTTTGCTGAGGTCACTACTAAATACTTATATATGTTCACAGTTTACCATTTATTCAAGCTCATCTGACCTTTGCTTTCTAATTGAAGTTTTATTTTTCAGTTTATGTTTCCAGTTTTATTTTTTTTTTTTAATGTTGGACAACCTATCTTTAAACAGCTAAAACAAAATTCAGTTTTACATACAGTATTGCCATTAAGTTACCTCTGCAGCGGTTTCATTCTCTGTCTCCTATCGATCAGAAAAAACTGGCAATTGCGCTGAATGTTTATGCAACAGAGGTACTTTTTGATTCAATAGCAATAATTTTCTCAATATTACAAAGTCTAGTGATTTAATTAAAAAGATCTTAAAAGCGGGCCCATATTTCATGGGCTAAATCAGAGAAACCATCAAATAGCATGGATTGCACTAATGTTGGTATGTGTATAAATACACATATAAATATACATATATACATCATTATTAATTTGTATATCATTACTGAAGCATTCATACATATGCATATATACATATGATACAGATGCTACCTCTCTGTATCTATATACTTACATCTATATACATATACATGCATCTATATAAAATAGTTCTACTGATCATAAATCCTAATTCGAAAAATACCAAGCACAACAGAAGACTTTTCACTGATTATAGTGAATTATACTTGTGAATAAAGATTTTTACCATTTAAACAAAAAACAACAGATGAGACCAAACTATCTTCAGGATGAAATATTAGAAATGTAGCTCAGAATACATGGATGAACTTGGGATGTAGGACACTTGTAAAGGATTTGTTCTTGCATAACAGACTAACATGAACAATATTTCCCTTAGTTTTTCTTGAACTATTATGCATAGTATGAATGATTAGTCTGCTGTGCTCTAGAGAGCAATACATTGCATATTGCTGATTAACTTTTTACAGGGTATGTAGAAATATTTTTTTCATAACTCTTATTGAAAAGATCAGTCACAATTTCTTGTGGTCATTTATACAGCTATTCCATTTTTAAATTAAAAAATAAAAATAAAAGGAGGTGTTTATAACATTAAATTTCCAGAAGGGGAATCAAGTGTAAAAGAATGAGAAACTAAATTGAGACAGAACTCCAGTAGAAAAGTACTAGCAAAAAAATTAAAATTGGTGCATCACCAAAACACATCTCTACAAGTGTGATTTATACAATGCCATCAATGCACAAGGAAGTTTACATAATGTGAAACAAATGCATGTTAAAAAGACCATTTGCAATGGACACAAAACTCTGGTAACATTTCTGTAATACTATCAAAATCTTTTAGTCTTATTTGCCTTCAGAAAAAAACAATTCCTATTCCTAGTAGCTATTTAAATAATTTTAGAAAGGCACTTCTTCTAGCATATCTGTATATACACACCAATCTCTCAAGGCTAACTGTAAAAATAGAAAGTTCTGAAGTCAGTCATATTTTCTGAACAATGTGCAAGCTGATGAGGACTCATATGAGTAAATGAACAGGTTTTCTCAAATATGGGATCCCACATTATTTTTCCCAGGTGAAAACAAAACAAAACAAAATTTTATAAACAAATTCCCCTAAGTACTGTTTTAGTTTAGGAACAAAAATCTTTCTAAATCCCGGTTTAGCTTTTAATATCACATTGTACATTAAAATTCATAAAGTAGTTCAAAGGCAAAGCAAGCTACTTTTCGGTTCAGCTCTGCAAATGGCAAAGAGGCATAGTAAATGCAGTTACATTCAGAATTCATTTTTATCAGGACAAAGTTTACTACTCCATTATTATACTGGCTCCTGGAAGCGCAGTTATAGTTAAGTGTGTTTTCCCTTTACTGTCTTCTCCATGGTGGTTTCTCAAGAATAGAAGGTTGCCTTTTATATTTTGACTATTTCAGATGTGTTACTAAAACAGGATTTGTCAGAATGATGGTCAACTACAGCTAATTTCTATATAGAAAACTATTAGTCAAGTTTTCAACTATTAGTTAAGTTTTGAACTTGTTTTTTAAAAATCTTAATTAAGTGCTTGAGTATATAAAAGGCCAGTGAAATTATAAATTATATTATACAAATTTGAAGTCAATCTAATCTGCAGCCAGATGCAGGAAGTCATGAGGGTCCATGAAACCTCTTATTAAGAATCATCAGTTTGATACATCTTTGGCCACATTTCTAAAAAAATCCGGAAGAATCAGCAATAATAATAATGATAACTGGGTCATTTTTGTATTTCTAGCAATGAGAGTGTTAAGAGAGACACCTGTAATTAACCAAAGATCCCAGTTATTATTCAGCACTGGGCTTCCAGTCATGCACTTCCCCTTCACATGCGTGCTTTTGAAGAGCGGTACATTCTGGCAGTCAGCTTTCCCCTAAGTTTCCTCAAGTACTGTGGGTAGCAGATCAATACGCAGAATCTTTAAACAACAAAAAGAGCACCTAACTCCCTGAGGACTTACAGGACAGTTAAAGCAACTAGTGAAAGAAAACTAGCAGCAGAAAGCAAGGTGATCAGATGAAAAGAGAATACAACTCCACCAGGCATTTTTTAATTTTAGAAGTACAGAGCTACTGTAAAGTTGTGGATAAATTGTTGCTGTTTCAGATATCTGGATTCAAAACCTTGTACTAGGTTGACTTTCTTAGCACTAGCTAAGCTCCTATAATAAATTTGACCATTCTTTTTATTGCCTGCTCAAATTTTCAAAAGATGAAAAAAAAATCAAATGTGTCATGTTGCATGGCTTGTGCAGTTATATTAAAAATTTGAATCAGAATCCGTACTTGCATTACTGTATCTCAGAAAAAAGTGAAGCATGTCTTTTTCACAGATCACCAATGCTTTAACAACAAGTAGATCAGAAATACTTAGAAAATAGTTTACTTGTGAAGGTCGGCTGGGAGGTGTACTTATAAGAGGTGTGGGGCCCATAGCAGAAGCTGCATTCAAGCTTCTTTCCCTTTCATCCTGGTATATTCGATCTCTTTCTGCTTCTGGCAGCTGCAAGAAATTCTGCATAGCCCGAAGGTTTACCAGTAAAGACTGTGAAGCGGTCTTAGGGTCTTCTTCCTTTCGCAGGATTTCTGAGAGCAAGCCCTGCAGGAGAAAAGAACACCCACAAACACACACACAGATAAAGGCACATTACACTATGCAGTTTTATATAGTACAGTCAATAGTACTGATCACATTTTTCTTCATTACACTAACTTCAGGAAATACACAGCAAAAACCTATTCATTCTACTTAAGAATATATTGCTGACAATTTAGGTAGAGCAGAAAGGAGCCTCAACTGTATCCTTAAGCATCTACTTTATGCACAATGCAAACTGAATCTACATAATTGATCTCTTCTTTTTTATGGACAACTTTTCAGGAATATTTTCTAGGACATTCAAGAATAAGTATAAATGAAATTTAAGTAGTCCTGCAGCATTATTAAATCTCTAATTAAAGCCTGCAATAATATAAATATATTCATCCTACACAAAGCAATTTCTGACAATTTGGGGGCACTTTATGACTTACAGATCTGATACACAGAGAGGTTTACAAGGAGAAAACAGAGTGACATTCACATGCAGATTGTCATTTTGAAAGAAGTACTTTGCTCCCTTCTCTGAAATATTTGAAAAAATAACTTGAGTAAATAAACAGGTAATCATTGGAAAAGATGGTTAATTAAGGCACATATTTATCATCATGTGTCAAAACACATACTTGCACATACACACGCAAAAGTTATTAATGGAACCCAAGAATCAGATCTGACCCACAGAGGGACTATTTATCTAATTATTCATATGTATATAAACATGGAATATATGAACGTAGTTACTCATTGGTAGGCACCCAAGTGCTCATAGCCCTCACACAATAATTTGCTTTGAGAAAAAATTCTCCTTAGGATCCAAATTTTTGTTATGGTGTTTAGGAAACTTATAGGAAAGCTCTGCATCCTAACCCCCTCCCCACCCCTTTTTAAAAAAATGGTACTTAAATAAATGGCTTAGATCTCTAATCATTTTTTCCCATGAGAGCTAATCACTTCATATAATCAAACAATGTCATGCTCAAGATTTATCTGATCACCATCTCTGCATTGCAGGAAGGACTTTACCCTGGCTGGCAAAGCTGCATTATTAGCTATCCCATGTAGTAAATGGATTGTCCCTCTGATAGAATAGAATTTCTCATAGTTCTGGCAGTCTTAGCAAGTTGTTCCTACATTTGCTTGAACTGCATACTATAGACTGCATGGATTGAGTTTAGTCTGTCTGCAGATAATGATTGTGACCCTTTCAGCATTAAAGAATCTGCGCCTAAAGCAATGATGAAGGGCAGACATGTGCAGACATATATGCACAGTTGTTAAATCTGTTTAACAAAATAGGGACCAAGTTTAACAGAACTAAACAACTGAAAAGAGTGTGAAATGTAACAATTCAAAGTTAGAGTAAACTAAACCAAATTCTTCAAAGGTGAGACTACAAGATGCTACGGCAGGGTTCAGAACCTGGGGACAAAATCCAGCCACTGTTGGCTCCAAAATCACCCTACCAGGCATCCCTAGAAAGCCACAACCCCTTCCTATGGTCTCACCCCCTTCCTCCGACTACCAATTGTTTGGTGGCTTCTTGGCTTTTCTGAAGCATTTCCCTCATTCTAAGAGGTTGCAATGACTCTCCTAAGGCTTTGTTACTGACAGTAAGAACATTAAGTTAAAATATGCTTTTTGGCATTTTTACTCCATCATTTTGACTTTAGCACGTCCTACCACTGGAATGCAGACCTCAGAAGATTCTCCAAAAAGGAATTCAATCCTAGTGCTGAAAGACATTCTGCACCTTTGTCAGCCTGCCCTGTGAAAACCAAACCAAACATTCACACACACCCATAACTGGTGAATCAAAGCAATTTGACAGTAGTATCTGAATTTACAAAACCATTTTAAAGATAATGTGATTATTATCTTTGTGTGGAGGTGAGGATTTGAATATTTATGAAGAAAAAGTACAGTGGGAACTCATGAAAAAACTGGTTCATGTGCGTGCACACAAAACCAAATCCTGGCAGATTATCACCAATGAAAATAAACCAGCTTCTTCAAACTTCTGACAGTTGAGACAAAGTATTCTTCAAACTAAGGATGGAGGTACATGTCACTCTTAAATAACTTGGAGTACTGCAACTTTTAATTTTATTAATAGCAATATCCTCTACTCAGAGATAAGTTCCATTAAATTCAATGAGGCTTAACCCCAGGAAAAATGGGTACAGTTTTGCAGCCTAATTAGTTAATTTAACAAACGATAACTATCAAGTATCATCTTTTCCTATTTTAATATCTTCAAGGCACTGTTCATAGCGGTTCTCTATTTTATCCTCCCACAACCCTGTCAGGTAGTTTAGTGAAGAACAGTGTAGCTGCCCGGAAATCACCTGCTTCAAGGTTAAGCAGGAGTCTGAATCCATGTTTCCCCAGTCAAAGCCCAACTCCTGTCTACATTCCAACTATTCCAAGTGTGATTCAAAAGCACTAAAACTTGCAACCCAGTTCTTAACATGTGGGAGTGGGTTTGATTAGAGTGTGGAACTGGGGATGTGGGAGATCCTGGTTATAGTCCACCCTCAGCCATGAAGCTCTCTGGGTGCTTTTGGGCCATTCACTCATGCTCAGTCTAACCTACCTCACAGGATGGTTTTTGTGAAAATAAAGTGGAACTATGTAAGCCACCTTGGGTTCCTCTCAAGGGGAACAGAAGTGGACATAAATGCAATATAACAAAGGTAAGTGTGCTTAGGGCTAGTACTTTAAATACGTACCCATAGGATATCTGCACAAGAACATATTTTAAGTTTCATATTCATGCAATTTCAGAGCAGAGCAAATCCCACCAGTTCCAATTCAGCAACGTATACATTTGATTTCACATGCCTCTGGGATTTCTAACCGGTGCTTAAGTATCTGCTTAAGTATCATCTGTTTTTACTTTCAATGAAAGTGTTGAGTGGTTTACTGAACACCTTTATATTTTATATATTTAACAGTAAATCCTACTGTTGTGGTGCTCTGCACTATTTTAATAGGAGATTCAGAAGCAGATTCTGATTCAGAATTGGAACTTGCTAAACTAGTCTAAATTTGCCCTTTGACCCTGAACAGCTGCTGCATGAAGCCCAAAGTAAGCGGAGCAGAAATTGGTGTCCACACAGGTGTTCAGCTGCATCTCTGAGTGAGCCATTGCTCTGAACCTGACCCTGGATTCAAAAAAAGCCATATCTCCACAGTAGAGATGGTGCAAGTGGCGTCCTCTGAAATAAATCTAATTCTGATGTCTCCCTTCACTGGGAGTTATAACAATTAAATAATTCCTCACATACTCACATAGTAGAATACCATTTTTCTATGGATAAGTTACCATAGTGGTTAAGTATTAAGAGTGCAGGTCTGGGACTAGGTTCTAGTCCCTGCTCAGTCATGGAACCAACTGGGTGCCTTTTGGCCAGTCAGATTCTTAGTCCAACCTACCTCACAGGGTCATTGTTGCAGGGGTAAAATTGAGAGCAGAAGGAAAAGAATGATGTAAGTTGCTTTGTGTTCATTATAAGGAAAAAGTGGGATATTATGCCAATAAATAAATGCATGCATGACACTATATAATTTAGTCTCAATATGGCCCTGGCTATATTCCTCTTGAATTCCTATGTGTGCACTATTCATGTCTAAGAAATACAATAAAAGTATGTCTGAGTGCTGTTTCCTTTATGCCTTTCATGAGGTCAAAAAGTTCCAGTTTTAAATACATTTCTAACAAGAAAAAAAAATGCACAGCTCCCTGCAGCAGAAACCTTCAGCTTTAATAATCCTGCAACATGGCCCAAATGAAATCACAAGAAAGATGCAATAATGCAAGTTTACACCTTTATGCTATGACAGCAAAGTTAGCAAAGTTTACAAAACCTTCACCTTTGTTGAAGAGGGCCACTAGTTAGATGCCAATTTCATTCCTAAGAGGAACCCTGAGTAATGCTTGAGTCTTGTTCATGTAACGTTCATGTCCAGCTACCTGACCAGAGTGTCCTATAAACCATCTATGACAATGTGCTTAGAAGGTTGATCGAAAAGGGAACCATGCCTAGCACATGGTTTTGCAATGCACTAGCACATCTCTTAAGTCATGCTGTGCATTCTGCACACTGTTTGAAATTAGCAGTGTGTGCACACAGTGATAACAATATATGTGACATATGAGCATTTGCTGGCAACCATATGCAAACATCTGTTTTCACAAAAAGTAAAGAATATGCTTCCCATGAAAAAATATTTTCTTGAAAAGAGAGGAAAGTAGTGGGCTATGTCCGTCCCTTCCCGTCCTCCTGCCAGCAAGTATAATCACCTCATCTATAGCACTACTTCTTCTCAAGCCTCTGTGTTAGAAACTGCCAATACTCTTCAGGAGGCTAAATCTGGTTGTTGGGCCTTCAGCTGTGGATCCTTCAGGATCCTTCATATAGGCAGAATGCCTAGCACATGTTCAATGATTTCCTGTAGCCACCATAATTTTCCAACACTGCTACTGTAAATCATTTATGATTAAGGCTCTGAAATGTCATAACACATCCTAGTCCCTTCCATCTGGATACACAATTGGCATGTACAACGTGCAGGACCTCTGCAGTGGTGGCCCTGCAATTGTGAACTCTCTCCTTGGAGAGCTAAAACAGGCCCCATTTGCATCCATCTTTAGTCAGGTTACTAAACCAACTTTAGTTAAGTGGGAATTTAGGATCCAAAGTATGGTTTGCCTGATTTTTCAGTTGTTGCTATTTAATGTTCCTTTTATGTATTGATTTCAGTTGTTTTAAATCATCTGTATTATTGATTTTAATTGACTATCACTCTGAATGTACATGTGCAGACATGAAATAAACACACACAAAGTGAATATATCATAACCAGTCATACCAATAATTACTGCATTAAAGTAGCAAAGGTAATCTGTCAATGCATTGTATTTCTGTTAGGTATCTGCCATGTACTTCTTCATCTGAGGGCCCTATCTTCCCTTACAGTTAAAGTCAATTTAAGCC